AATGTCAAAACTATACAACTCCTATCGTAGCTGTTAAAATAGCATTCAGAGTACGGAATATAAAGCCAAACTTAATACCATTTAGTTCATTCAATATCCACGCAATACGGATGCAATAGGCGCTAGTGTTGCTACTCAAGAGTACGAAATTTCACAATACCAATGTCGATCGATCGGAATTGAAATCCAGAGATTGAAAGCCTCCAGGTGTCAAGGCAATATTTAAAAAAAAATCGTTTCCCATGTTATACCTTCCATAACGCCGTCCACCCACTAACATACATTCACATTGGGTGCTATGAAGTCTACAACATAAATAAGTCAATCAATAGGCTCACCTCCTATTACATGGGACTCATAACATAAATAGTGGAAAGTGGGTGTTACAGTGTACAGTGGCATTAAGTGCCGTAATGTGCACCTACCCCTTCGGGGATAGAACGCGTGATGTTATCCTTACTAATATCCTTATCCTTACTAATATTATAAATCGGAAAGTGAGTTTGTTTGTTTGTTTGTTCCACTATCACGCCGTAACTACTACACCGATTGCATTGAATTTTTGCAGACGTAAAGTTAGTAGTCTGGATTAAATAATAGGGTACTTTTTATCCCGAAAAATTTTGATATTCCCGAGGGAAAACAAAAGTATTGGTATAGATGGCGCTGTATGTATTGGTATATGTCACATAGGCTACTTTTTATCCTTTTGTGACGCGAGCGAAGCTGCGGGTAAAAGCTAGTGTAACACAAATATGTTAACATTGTAGTGCAACTAATTGAACTGAACAATAAGTTGAACTTGTTTCACTTAATTAAATTAGTTACAGCCATTTTACGCGTTAACATAACATTATTACGAATTATTTGCTTTCAAAGAATGTGTGTGTTCATAACTCTGAAACGACTTGACTAATTTTGATAGATTTTTGAGTTTGATTTAGAGTTTTAGATTATACATTCTGGCTAGGCAATTTGTGAAGGAAAATATCAAAAGGAAATCTGGGCTTATAATTTCTAATTACATAACATAACATCACGCCTTTTATCCCCGAAGGGGTAGGCAGAGGTGCACATTATCCCACTGTACAATGTAACACCCACTTTTCACTGTTTATGTTATGAGTCCCGTGTAATAGGGGGTGAGCCTATTGCCATATACCGGGCACAATTCCACACTCCGTGCTACTACTAAGATTTTTTAAACCCAGTAATACTTTGCCCGACCCGAGAATCGAACCTGAGACCTCTTGCCCGGCGCACTTGCAACCACTCGGCCAACGAGGCAGTCTTCATAATTCCTAATTGTACTTAAGTTTGAAATCGCCAAACCGCATGAGCAAGTGTCGTGATTAATACTCAAATCTTCACCGTGTGAGAAAAAGCCTTTGGTCAGCAGTGGCTACTCATAGGCTGTATAACTTATTCTTAAACCATACAGGCAGGTAGTTGCTAAACAATAATAAATTATAATAGAGATGTAATAGAGACTAAATTTATAATTTTTTTGTCTGAACACAATCTAGTTTTATTATGGTAATTATTTATTTTTCTTTGAGAAAACAAGGACATTGTGTTTTTTTTTAAAAGGCAAGTTAAACATTATGATACTATATATCCTATAATTACCTAATTAAATACACGTGCAAACAAAAAATACTAATAAAAAAATAAACAATGCCTCGTTGTTCGAGAACTTAGTAGCTTTTAGCAGTAGTCTCAGGGGCTTTTTTGGATTTTTCGACATTTTTTCGACTTGCACGGCGTCTGTTAACATGAGACTTTTCTTTATCTACGAACTAACTGAGCCGGCAAACTTCGTACCGCCTAATAATTGTTTTAAACCTTCCCTGGAGAACCTAACGGGTAACCGAGGCTCCGGCTCGACGTGCAGGAGAAGGAACGGGGTGGTTTTAAGTCAGTAAGAGTCTGACATTCCCTCCCGCCTCACCCACGCGGGAGCAGTCATTCGATGATTTTGACCCCTTAAAAAAAAAGACCTCCACAACGTCGCGGAGAACCTAACGGGTAACCGGGGCTTCGGCTCGACGTGCAGGAGAAGGAACGGGGTGGTTTATAGTCAGTAAGAGTCTGACACTCCCTCCCGCCTCACCCAGGTGGGAGCAGTCATTTGATGATGTTCCCCCCTTAAAAAAAACTTCCATGACCATTTCAAGACCAAAATTAGCCAAATCAGTTCAGGTGTTCTCGAGTTTTGGCGAGACTAACGAAAGGAATTCATTTTTATTTACATAGATTTGATAACCATATAACAAATAACTTCTTACGAAAAATTTCCATGTTTTTTGAATGTTCCATGAAAATTCCATGTAGCTATGCAATATTGCAACGTGCATAATAATGAAAGTGCCTGCAGCTATCTGCTCATTATTTGATTTTGTAATCTTCTTTTCTAATTAGGTACCTACTTGCCAACTAGTCAAATTCAATACATTCGAACTGTCAAAAACAACAGTTTTCTATGAATTTTGTATGACATTATGTATTGTGACGTCACGTTTTTTTAGCGTCAAACAGCATACCTACTTATTTCTTAAAAAAATACTAAAATTAAGTTGGTCATAAAATCAATTAACGTAAGTGTGATATATATTTTTTTAATTTTATTTTATTGAACAGTCGAAATTATTTATTTTTGATGAAGTCAAGTACCTAATTGAATCCTTGGCCTTTTTTAAGGGGGGGGGAAATCATCCAATGACTGCTCCCGCCTGGGGGAGGCGGGAGGGAGTGTCAGACTCTTACTGACTAAAAACCACTCGGTTCTTTCTCCACTTTTTCTCACTTCTTGTCACTCATTAATTTTGGTAGTAAACGATATTTTTCGATAGTTCTATTCCATTTCTATTACACACGTCGTTCCACAGATTTTTAACTTAGGTTACTTATTTATTCCTGCCGTATATAACTAAAAAATCGTTTCGCGAAATTTAACTCTAAATCCTGTTTCGCGAATTCGATAGCTATTATAGCCTTACCGGCACCGGGTTACGCATAACCTCAGCTGATTCGAAATTATGACGTAGCGAGCTCCAAGATCGGATCATGCGATCGCACCACGGCACCGCTCAGCCAATCAGAGCGCGTTTAGAAAACAAGCCCGCCACAACTCGCGTGTTGTCAATGGTGTGATGGCAATGGCGGCGCATTCTAAATTTTTTAAATCGTTTTTTTAAGTTTTTTTTTCAGTTCAGTCTATGATTTTTATTTAATGAGCTTTTTGTTGGTAATTCTTATTTGTATGTTAATTAATTTGGTTGTTATTTGATTGTTTTCGTAAATATACAAAAAAATTGCATGTTCTAAGTTCTTTTTGCATACATACATTGTAAAAATATCCTGATAATACTTAAAATTTCGAAAGAAATACACGTTCATGTTCATATAAGTAAACCGTGGTACCATTAAGTAAATAATATTAATCGAAATGTTGACCATAAAAAAAACGCGCATAACCGTAAAAGCTAAAAGAATCACGCCAATATAGTCCTTAACATCCATGTACTAGCGTGTAATTTACATCGAATCTACATTGAAGTATGTAGGTACCTATATTTTTTACTGTAGCAAACATTATGTCATGACTGTGTTCGTCTATTTATTCTATAGTCAGAGGTGTAAACTTTAAACATAGTATTATACCATGAGTCAATGAAAATAAGTTTAAGATTCTCTTGATGGAACAAGTATATTTGTATCACTCTTTTTTGAGGGAGGATATCCAATGATATCTCCCGCCTTAAGTTAGGCGAAAGGGAGTGTCAGACTCTTACTGACTAAAACCACCCCGTTCCTACTCCTATACTTCGAGCCGGAGCCCCGGCAACCCGTTAGGCCTTGCGCGGCTCCGTATCGGGCATCAGCCCTATTGGGCCCCATCTGTGGTCGTCTGATGGCTCTTTGAGTTGCGCGCGGAACGCGACGCCCGTACGCACGGGTCTGATTCTGGTCGGGCGGTACTCTTCCCGCTGATGCCGTAAACCGACTAAGGGTCAAGGGATTACATATTAGACAGAGACCGTGCAGCAATGCTCTCTGATAGACCAGGGTGCTTACTGTTGAAACCAATCTCAATATCAATGCAATTTCAATAATTATTTAATGTCAAAACTATACAACCCCTATCGTAGCTGTTAAAATAGCATTCAGAGTACGAAATATAATGCCAAACTCAATACCATTTAGTTCATTCAATATCCACGCAATACGGATGCAATGGGTCTAGTACCCATGTTGCAACTTAAGAGTACGAAATTTCACAATACCAATATCGACCGATCGGAATTGGATTCAAGATTACGCTCCCTGGACTTTTTAAAAGCGCTCTCCAACTGGCAAGCGTGGCAAGACGACTTGCCAATGGCAAACTGCTTATGTAGAGGATACCTATAGTCCATCACTGAGCTGTTCATGATTGTACAATCGAAATTGCGGTCTCTTGACAAACGAGGTAGTTTAAAAAGTTTTGCTCTTATATAATTTTCTAGAAAGAAATTAGAAAGTGATAACAATATCTTTGATCAAACGTGCTTCTTACTGTTGTTGTACTGTTATTGAGGTTCGGAACATTTTAATTCTTTCCTTTATTTATTTTTGTACTCGATTTATACATTTTTAAATATTTGATTAGCTCAACAATCGACGTGTCGTTTTTTTTTTACTCTTTGAGTACCGTCATTATAGACACAATTAAAGAAAAATAGGTTGCGGTCACCGGTGACAGCTCGGTGTTTGACAGTACCCTGTAAATAAATAATGATAAAAAAAAAACATTTAAGCAGTAGCCACCAGTAACGGGAGAAATCCAAGCTACCGACGGTCAGGGCTCCAGATAGAGGAATTTCCGGACGATATGCGGTGAAATGTATAATCATTATTAAAGTATAATTTCTGTATTGTCCACAGCAGGAACCCTCATCCATATGACGCAAGCCGCTACAATACAAGTTGTTGACTGTTGAACACATAGACACACAAACATGTCGTCCAAAGCCATATACGAGGCGACCGGCAAGGATCTTATTAACAGGTATTATCAACTCGCTTTGTATAACAAACTATATTCAATCAAACTTTTCTATTATGAGCCGGGTGTCGTGGTGGCTCGGAGGTCTAAGACGCTCGTTTTTCATGCATGAGGGCTCGTGACTTTGTGACTTTTTCTGAGTTATATGTACTTTCTAAGATTATTTAGACACCACTGACAAACGGTGAAAGAAAAAAAAACATCGTGAGGAAACCTGGGCTTATAATTTCCAATTATAAGTTTGAAATCGCTAACCCGCATTGAGCAAGCGTAGTGATTATTGCTCAAACCTTCTCCGTGTGAGAAGAGACCTTTGGTCAGCAGTGGCCACTTGTAGGCTATTGATGAGTTCCAACCGCTGTCAGCCATACAGCGAACGTCGTCAGTCCATCTAGGAGGAGGGCCCTCTACACTACGTCTTCATAGGTGTGGTCGCCACTCCAGAATACCTCTGCCTCTATTAACATCGGTTCTCTAATAAATGTGACTTAAACTTGTTTATCCTTTGGGGTTTACCTCGTTTCGAATTCGATCCTTCGGAGGGACTCCGTGTCGTTTACCCTCTTCATAGTTTGCTGCAAAACCTTAAATTGGTGGATCAATCGCACTGTCGTTGTCCACGTCTCAACTTATGTCCTTACTGGTAGGACGCACTCGTTAAAGATGGGGTAGATACCTAATCTTTATTTTAATGTCCGTCTGGTAGATTATTTTAAATCATTAGACACGTATTTTTTATTTTCTTACAGAAACGAATACTTTCGACGATATATTGATTTGAAATGTTGCGTGACGTCACTTCTATGTACATTCTATACGTAGAAATGACGTTTTAGCCCCCACTCCTAAACTTTGATTCGTTTTATCTAAGTATTGTTTTATTATACTACGAAATAAAAAATTACGTGTCTAATATTTTTTCATTATCTAACTTACGGACTAATAGATTTTCAATTTTCATACCCTGTCATCATCCCAATTATAATTAAAACGAACGCTTTTTAATGAACTCAATAGTTTGATGGATATTTTCAAATTTTCAGGCACATAGCTCCGGGCACAGCGTTGGTACCATGTCGGTTTGCGACCTTCGAACAAGGGACCATCTGGGAAGATGAGCTCGGCAAGAACCCCTGGCTAGCTAAAGAGGTGAGGATAACCATCCATCTAATTACAAACCTTTGCTAGCGTTGCTTAACCTTTATTATCGACTGCACGGTTGGTGCGGTGGCTGGACAACTGGTTGCCGCGCAACGGGTAGCGGGTTCGATTCCCGCACGGAACAACTCTTTGTGTGATCCACAGACTGTTGTTCCAGGTCTTTGGATGTCAAGCGATGCGAATTCGCAACACAGAAATCTACTACACGAATTGGTACGATGCGATTCCGTGCGACAAGGCGAGTTTTCAATTTAAAATACGTTTAGTACGGTTGACGGTCGTCGAAGGAATGGTCACCCTGGGAGATACCTTGTCGCACGAAATCGCATCGCAGCAATAGGGTAGTTTCCTAAATTTTATTTGAATGTCCGTCTGGTACATTAATTTAAAACTTTAGACACGTATTTTTTCTTTTCTCACAAAATTAAATACTTTCGACGAGATATTAATTTGAAATATCGTGTGACGTCACAGCGTGCCACATTTTGCGCCATTTTATCTAAGTATTGCAACTAAATACGAAAAAATAAAAAAAATACGTGTCTAATATTTTTTAATTATCTAACCGTCGGACTAATTAGATTTTTATTAATTTTGATACCCTGGAAACTACCCCATTCGTGTCGTAATTTTCTGCGATGCGAATTTGCATCGCATCAGTTTTGTGTACGAGCCCTCACTCTTTACTGGACATATCTGACTAATCCTTCAAAGCCTAACAGTCGTGTATATATCAATTGGTTAGAAGTTGGCCAGTGAATCATTGCATCCGTTTATCAGTTGTATGACCATTGTATGACTGAGATACGTACAGAGTGTCTACATGTAATTTATACGTCTATGATACGTCTGTTCGTGAAATATTGTGGTATGGCTGTAGGGTTGCCGACCGTACTTTATATTTATAATAAAGTATTGTACGTTATTTAAGGTAATTGTACTCTATACTTTATAAGAATAATAAAATACATGAAAATACTTTATTTTTGCAAACTTCATTTCTATTGAAGTATTTTTCGGTTCGACTTATCGATTCGATATCGATATTTATCGGTTTATGTTGAATCGATTTCGCCACTTGCCAGCGCCACTTAGACGATTTCTAGTAAAGATGCAATTGTTTAGTAAAGCTACTATTTAATACAAACTGCAAAAAGCAATAGATATTATTATGATAGACATATTATTATTAAATATTAATACTAAATAAGAATAAATTGTACTTTATTTTTGTACTATGTACTTTTTTTCTTACCTATAATCGTCAATGTACTTTATATACCAAAAACAAGGTGGCAACCCTAATGGCTAGGTGTAGTAACTTTTTGATACATTTAATTAGGTACTTTCCTTAATCAAAAATAAATTATTTCGACTGTTCAATACAATAAAATATTAAAAATGTAGTCACACTTTCATTAATTGATTTTATGACTAACTTTTTAGAAATAAGTATGCTGTGTAACGCATAAAAAAAGTGACGTCACAATACACAATCTCGTATAAAATTCATAGAAAACTATCGTTTTTAAAGTATTGAATTTGACTAGTTGGAAAATAACTAATTGCGAATTAATTTCAATGAGATGACAATGAGCTTATAATTTGTAATTATAAGTTAGAAATTGCCAATCCGAATTGAGCAAGCGTGGTGATGATAACTGAAACCTTCTCCGTGCGAGAAGAGGTCCTTGGTCATTTATAGACTTTTTTAAGGGGGAAAATCATCGAATTACTTCTCCCGCCTGGGTGAGGGAAGGAGTGTCAGACTCTTACTGACTAAAAACCACCCCGTTCCTACTCCTGCTCTTAGAGCCGGAGCCCGTTAAGTCCTACGCAGCAAAACATCACGCTACTGTTAATAAGCACTGAGCAATATGGTTGAAACCCTGCGGAAGGAGGTAGTTTCTAAAAAAAGACGTTTAAAAAACTGACTTAAACCCGCTCTTTGTTTGAGGACGGTTTATTAATCATGATCATCACCGTCATCAACAGCCGAAAGAGCTCCACTGCTGGGGAAAGGCCTCCCTCTTGGTCCTCCACGTCGAACGACAACTCGCCATTCTGAGAGTTGCGTATATGATAGTAGAGTTGCGGGGAACCAGTGGATGCAAGCCGGAGCCCCGGTAACCCGTTAAATTCTCCGCGGCTCCGTATCGGCGTCATTTATAGACTGTTGTTGATGATGAAGTGATACGCAATATACTAATTATAATTACTTTTTTTTCTTCCCAACAGCAACTAGTAGTAAAACCCGATCAGCTAATCAAAAGGCGTGGCAAGCTCGGTCTAGTCGGCGTGAACAAGTCTGCGGCGGAGGTCAGACGGTGGCTGAGCGAACATGTTGGCAAGGAGCAACAGGTCGGCGCGGCTATCGGCAAACTGAGGCATTTTATTGTCGAACCGTTTGTTAAACATGATGCTGTGAGTATAATTATTTATTTATTTTTTTATAATAATAATTCTTTATTTGTCTGGACATTAACTTCTAATGGCCGATTTTTCTAGAATAAAATTGACAATTGACACTTTTTAGTATGGAAGAATTGTGAAATATTCATTAAGTAAGTTGTTGTTAAGTCGTAAGTTAGGTAATGAAAAAATATAAGACACGTTTTTTTTTATTTTCTTGTATAATAAAATAATATTTCCCATTCCCGTAGGATTTTCAGAACTTTTTTCTGTCATAAGAACCTTCTCCTGACGATAACAAACACAACAAAAAAAATCAGCCAAATCGGTCTAGCCTTTCTCAAGTTATGGCGTGACAACTGGAAACGGGTTTCATTTTTATATATATGTATAGATCTATGACTTATATCCCCACTATTCCCCCTTTCACAGAGCGAGGAGATGTACCTGAATATAATGTCGGGCAGACGGTCAGACACCATCCTCTTCCACCACCAGGGAGGCGTCGACGTCGGGGATGTGGACGCCCTCGCACTCCGTCTCGAGGTTAGTTACCACCCATCATTTTCTAGGCCGCGGTCGACTGTACTGTCTGTTGAGAAAAGCTGAAAGCTTGTTAACATTTATGATGTATGTCATGATTGAAATGGTAATAAATGCGTTGGTTAAATAACATAGAACATACTATCACGCCTTTTATCCCCGAAGGGGTAGGTAGAGGTGCACATTACAGCACTTAATGCCACTGTACAATGTTTCACCCATATTTCATGTTATAAGTCCCATGTAATAGGGGCTAACTAAGCCTATTACCATACACCGGTACCGATCACATTTCCAGACTTCGTGCTATTACTGATAAAAACCCAGTAATACTTTGCCCGACCCGGGAATCGAACCCGAGACCCTTTGGCCGGCCAGTCGTACTTGCGACTACTCGACCAACGACGCAGTCGGTTGAATAATGTCTACAGAATAAATTGTCGGTCGATTCCCGAGTTTACCGAAATATGAAATTTTAAACAAATCGTAGCCCAAAAAGTTCACAAAACTTTAATTAAACTATCTATATAATTAGATGTCGCGAATTGTGAAAATTTATGAAAATATATTTAGCAATTGCCTTGATGGCCGAGTGGTCGCGTTCGATTTCCGGGTCAGGCAAAGTATTACTGGGCTTTTAAAAATCTCAGTAGTAGCACGGAGCGTGGAATTGTGCTCGGTATATGACAATAGGCTCACCCCCTATTACATGGGACTCATACCATAAAAAGTGAAAAGTGAGTGTTACATTGTACAGTGCATTAAGTGCCGAAATGTGCAAGGCGTGATGTTATGTATATTGTATATTTAGCAATTTTAAATATATTATTACGATGAACTATGAATCTGTTTCTATTCCTATTGATTTAGAACTGAATTGACAATTACTTATATATAGATAATAATTGAAATGAATATATTTGCAGATCCCAGTAGACACGTTCCCATCGGGCGAGGATATCGAGAGGGTGCTGCTCAAAAACATCAAATCTACCGCTATGAAAAGGTAAACACAATTATTTTCCATTTAACTGCTCAATACCCGTGCAGTCAGCGGCGACCGATCTCCACTAACTACATTACAGACCTTATTTCCAATGTTTAGAGACTACTTTTATATGAACAAATTTATGGTACGATATTTTTATTTATTTATTTAACAAAAGTACAATTTTAGGATTAACATGTTGTTCTTATAAATAAAGATCCTCGCCAAACATATCGTTTAACGGCTAGAAGCGCTCATTTCTTATTCTTACTGGCTAATTAAGTACTTTATATAACATTAACTCGTCGAGTACCGTATTTATAGACACAATTAAAGAACAATAGGTTGCGGTCACCGGTGACCGCTTGGTGTTTGACAGTTTAAAAGAAAACTGAAATCAAAACAAAAATAAAAAATACACATTATAAAAGGATAGAAATTAAAGAATGCATTGCCTATGCTCTCTTAAGCAATTCTCCCCTTAGCTTCTTCTTCAACATAAACGAACTCACTTTATTTTCCTCTCTCAATATATCCAATTTATTGAATATCTTTGAACAAGTAACACACACAGTGTCTAAGTGTAGGCTCGCCATGCTTCGGCAATGCTGAGTCGGCTCGACCGGAGTCATACCAACGAGCAGAAAACTATAGTGAAGCAACCACAGCTTTGTGTTACTTCCCAATCCTTGAATTCCCAATCCCCAAAAGGCCGGTAACGCACTTGTAACGCCTCTGGTGTTCCAGGTGTCTATGAGCGACGCCGATTGCTTACCATCAGGTCTTCTTGCTCATTTACCGGCTTATACTATATAAAACAAAATGCCTTTACAGAAAACGTCTCTATCAGTCGATTATATATTTATTATTGATTTCTTTTATTAGATAAAATGGTTTAATCACAATATACTCGACTAGTTTCTATGCACGTACGGGTCCAACGCAGGCGATGGTTTGAGTATATTAATAAAACGACCTCAAAAGAAGAGGGGGTTGAAGTTGCTTTTTTAAATATGGTTTATAAAAGAAAGACTACCTCGTTGGCCGAGTAGTCGCAAGTGCGACTGTCGGGCGAGGGGTCCCGGGCCAAGCAAAGATTTACTGGGTTTTTAAAAAAAATCTCAGTAGAAAAAGAAAAATCTCACTGAGTCTGGCATTGTGCCCGGTATATGGCAACAGGCTCACCCCCTATTACATGGGACTCATAACATAAATAGTGAAAAGTGCGTGTTACATTATACAGTGGCATTAAGTGCCGTAATCTGCATATCTGCCTACCCCATCGGGGACAAAAGGGGTGATATTGTATTATAAGAGTTATTTCCTACTAAATCTTCCTTATTTTCTTTACAGATTACTGACGACATTCATCCTAGCTCTATACAGAGTGTACGTGGACCTATATTTCACATACATGGAGATCAATCCTATAGTAGTGACGAACGAACGTATATACCTACTGGATCTGGCCGCGAAACTCGACCAGACGGCCGACTTCATCTGTGCGAAGAACTGGGGCGAGGTGACATTCCCTCCTCCGTTTGGGAGGGACGCGTACCCCGAGGAGGCTCATATTGCTGACCTGGATGCTAAGAGTGGGGCTAGTTTGAAGGTTTGTACCGTTAATTATTATAAATAAATATATAAATAAAATCTTTATTCAGAAATGAAAATGGACACAGATACAAAAATATTTCTTGGGTAAATAAAATAGATCTCACATGGTTGGGTGCCTGTACTAGGATAATCCTGTGTCACAGGCAAGAATAGGTCTAACATAATTATAATTTTATTTCTATATACGCTCTTACATGCATTAATACTTAACAACATTTTGACAAAATAAAATATGACTATATAATATACATAAACACATACATAGCCCCTCGCCTTATACTCTCGGAAGAGATAGGCAGAGGTGAAACAACTTAAGAGTAACATGACAATATGGTGTAGGTAGATAATTAGGTATCCAATACACAAATAATTAAAATTAGGTACGATTTAACTTAGACAAAAGGCATATTATTTATCACTATAGTCGAAAAATTACTTGCATCGGTAGATATATAAACTAGGTCAAAGTCTTTATGTTTTCAGCTTACTTACGTAATTATTTGACGTAATAATGAGTAGCAGCGCGACATTCGCACCGTCGCGTGTCGCGGAATGCTGCTAATGAATATGAGCCTCTAGCATGACTTGAAACTAGTCTAGTTCCTCGTCAAACACTACTTAATGTCAGAATACTCAAACGCTACTCAATTTTAAGTCGCACTTAAGTATAGTTCTGTCTCCACAAATTCGTTGTAAAATGACAGAGATGGAACGATATTTTAGCACGACTTAAAATTGAGTAACGTTTCAGTATTCCGGCATTAATAATAATTCATTTTCGAAATTATTATGTTTTCGGCTGAAAACATAATAATTCATTTAGTATGTCTCACGAAAGCTACAATGCAAACATCGTTTGTACTGTTTTTTTAATACATTAAAAGATTTACTCACGTAAATGTTTGTCAAAGGAACTCGACTAGTTTCGAGCCACGCTGACGGTTCATAGTTCTTAGCGAGGCTTAAAACTAGTCGAATTACAAAAACAGTAAATCTGTATTTTTATTTTTTATTTGATAAGCTGGTGAATGAGCTGAAGCATCATCCGATTAACTAATAATCGCGGGTTATTCACGTGAATATACTGAGACAAGCTCTACTAGTTTCGAGCCACCGCGCACGCTGCTCATAAGGAAGAGCCCCTCTGTGACTCGAAACTAGTAGAGCTATTGTCACATTAGTAACTCGCGATTTTTGGTTAATTTAGTATGTCTCACGATAGTTATTATAAAAGCATCACCTGATGGTAAGCAATCGACGTCGCCCATTTACACCTGGAACATCAGAGGCGTCACAAGTATACTACATTCTCTAGTCAACTCAAAACTAATCTATATTGAAAAATATAATATCAATAGCATAGTATTAATACTTTGACTGCACGGTTGGTGCGGTAGCTGGGCTACCGGGTTTGATTCCCGCACGGAGTAACTCCTATGTGTGATCAACAAATTGTCGTTCAGTGTCTGTCTGTGATGTGTATGTGAACTTGTATGTTTGTAAACGCACCCACGACACAGGAGACAATCCTAATGTAGGGCAGCGTAATTTTTTTTTTTTAATTATAAAAGAAAAAAAAAAGATAGAAATGAATAAAAAAATACTTATTAATATAATGATGTCTATCCCCCCAGCTGACAGTGCTGAACAAGTCGGGCCGCATCTGGACGATGGTGGCGGGCGGCGGCGCGTCCGTGGTGTACACCGACACCATCTGCGAGCTGGGCGGCGCCGGCGAGCTCGCCAACTACGGCGAGTACTCCGGGGCGCCCACCGAGACGCAGACCGCAGACTACGCCAAGACTATCTTCAGTCTCATGTGTCGGGAGAAACATCCGAATGGAAAGGTGAGCTTATTTAGCACTAGTTTCTTGCGATTTTACCCGGTAAATGCACTATCCAACACAATCATTATTATTCAAATCGAACCAGTTGTTCATGATTAGCTCATTCAAACATACAGACTCTTCAGCTTTATATAATAGTATAAGTATATATATAACATCACGCCTTTTACCCCTGAAGAGGGTAGGCAGAGGTGTACATTACGGCATTTAATGCCACTACAATGTAACACCCACTTCTCACTATTCATGTTATGCCTATAGGGGGTGAGCCTATTGCCATATATCGGGCACAATTCCAGGCTCCGTGCTACTACTAAGATTTTTAAAAATTTTAGTAATACTTTGCCCGATCCGGAGATCAATCCCGAGACCCCGTGCCCGGCACTCAATGAGGTCGGTCAATGAGGCAGTCATTATATAAAATAAGATAAAAATTTAAACACACCCCTGTTTTCCTCTTAAAAAACTAATGAATTTTATTTGTGTTAACCACCATTCGCTCTTCTACAGGTCCTCATCATCGGCGGCGGTATAGCCAACTTCACGAACGTAGCGGACACGTTCCGAGGCATTATCACCGCGATTGAAACGTACAAGGACGCGCTCATTCAATACAATATCACCATATTTGTCAGACGAGGCGGCCCTAACTACCAGGAGGGACTTAGGTTGGTGATTTTATATTTTTTTATATATAATAATGTGTATAAAATAATTAACTAAAAATCGCAGGTTACTCACGTGAATATACTGAGAAAAGCTCTACTAGTTTCGGACTACAGAGGGGGTCTTTCTCATGAGCTGCGTGCGCGGTCGCGGCGATGTTGCACAGCCGATTTGTAGTTAATTTAGTATGTCTCACGATAGTTATTAAAAAACATATTATAAAAGAATTATCGAAATTAGACAAGGCGTTTTCGAGTAATTGTTGAACATATAAATATATTTATAAGCAAACATGACGCGCGCGCCTCAAAGACAATAGGGCTGATGTTTATACGGAGCCGCGGAGAATTTAACGGGTAACCGGGGCTCCGGCTCGACGTGCAGGAGAAGGAACGGGGTGGTTTTTAGTCAGTAAGAGTCTGACACCCCCTTCCGCCTCACCCAGGAGGGAGCAGTCATTCGATGATTTTTCCCCTTAAAAAAGAAGTACACCTATAGGTACCTATTATCTCTGTTGACCGTTGCGGGTCGCAACGTGGCGACTGTCGCGTGTCGTGTATATCTTACGAAAGTTAATTATAATTAAATCAATACTACACGTCTAACATTTAGGCAGAATGCACATGAGTTTCTCTTAAAGAGGTTGGCTGAATCATCACGCTAATTATTTACAGAGTATTAGTAATTATGTTCATATTTATATACTACTAGCTACTTCCGCGCGGTTTCACACGCTCTGCTCAGCTCCTATTGGTCGTAGCGTGGTGTTTTATAGCCTATAGCCAACCTCGATAAATGCGCTATCCAACACAAAAAGAATTATTCAAATCAGACTTGTAGTTACGGAGATTAGCGCGGTCAAACAAACAAACAAAAAAACAACCTCTTTCGCTTTATATAATAGTATAAGATATGAGTCTAATGTATGTATGTATGCATGTATGTAGGTATATTGTATTGTACTTGTGTGTAGGTATATATATGTTCAAATCTAAAATATGTTAGTATAATCTTCTATTTTCTTAATTAAATCGTTGCTTGATTCTTGCACCTACCATTAACTCTTCTGCATCACCCAAAGGTCAGACTGGGAGAAAATGCATGCGGCATTAAGTCCACCTTCTGTGCACTTTGTGCATTAAGCGTTAATAAATAATAAATATATTTCCAGACAAATGCGTGAGGTTGGGCATCGTCTCCGCATCCCCCTTTACGTGTTTGGTCCTGAGAGCAATATGACCGCCATTGTGGGGCTCGCATTAGGACAATCCCCAATACCTAAGGAACATCAGTTGGACTACGCACCCAAACAACTGCCCAAACCACAGGCTGCTGTAAGTAGTTTTAAATTTTTTTATGAGGTAACTCAGTAAGCTGACAGATCACCGGATGGTAAGCAATCGACGTCGCCCATTGACACCTGGAACACTAACGTCCGGTTTCTATAACCTATCTATCTTTAGATTTGCTTACTAGATATAGAATTTTGACATAAGCTCCATACAAAATGTGTCATAATTCTATCTCTAGTAAGCAAATCTACAGATAGATAGGTTATAGAAACTGGACGTAAAGGAGTTACTAAAGCGTTACCGGACTTTTGGGGATTAGGAATTTGAGGATTGTTGGAGATTAGGGAAGATGAGGGATGACCAATTACTTCTTAATTGGGTAACCTCACTCACACGATGAAACACAACACAAGTATTGTGCCACTATGGTTTTTGCTCGGCCGTGGTATCGATCCGGTCGAGCCGGCCCATTCGTGCCGAAGCATGGCTCTCTGAAACTTCTATATTATAGTTTTTTTGCAAATTTTTATTAAACTTGCATGAATGTAAGTTTGAATGTATGTGTGTGAAGTGGAATTTTGCAACTGAACTTTGAAGTAGATAGCTTCAACCGATAGAGCTGATATTTTGTATAGACATAAGTTCTCATGACAATTTTTTTTTTTTAATAGTTTTTATAGTTCTCATGACCATAACTAGTCTATGTGAAAGCTTGTTATAAGATTTTTGAATTTAAATTTATTTTTTGCATATTTATGGCTGACTGCCTCGTTGGCCGAGTGGTCGCAAGTGCGACTACCGGGCAAGGGGTCTCGGGTTCGATTCCCGGGTCAGGCAAAATATTAATGGGCTTTTTCAAATAATCTCAGTAGTAGCACGGAGTCTGGAAATGTGCCCGGTATATGACAATAGGCTCACCCCCTATTACATAAATAGTGAAAAGTGGGTGTTACTTCTGTGTACACCTCTGCCTACCCCTTCGGGGATAAAAGGCGTGATGTTATGTTATGTTTTAATATTGACTTGTAAAAGTGTTTTTTGAGCACTTGACAGATTACCGGGCTCGAAGTGCAGAAGTAGGAAAGGTTTGGTTTTTAGTCAGTAAGACTATCTATCTCGCCTCATTCAAATCAAGGCGGGAGGAAGGCATTGAATGATATTTCCCCCTCAAAAAAACTAATTTTGTAGGGACACATGTAAGTATGTATGGCAGAGTGCAAGGCAAGCAAAAACTTGTGTGAGCGTGAAGTATGCGAGGCACGGACAGTTACTGCGCACTGGTCCGAGTGAACGGTTCTATCTGGGGGTTTACGTGAATATATCCGGTATCTGAGGGCCAAGCACGAATAACTATCGCATTCGTATCGTAACAGTATCGAGCGAGTTAAGCGTTCACTTGAGCCGGCCAATCAGAGCGCCGAACGCACACGATACTATTACGTTACGAATGTTATTCGTGCTTGGTACCCTGAACACCGTTGTTTCTCTCAACCCCTTGCACCCCACGATATGAAGAGGCAGTGCTCAATTAAGGATCCTCCTAACTACGATCCCTAAAATGTCATTGTTTCATTGATCTAATCATTTGTTTTTTCCATTCCGCAGCCTAAACCAAAACTGGACATTCCAGAGATGACCCATAAGTTGCTGGACCTAGTATGTTCCCAAGCCCCAACGAGGCAGGACTTAGGGCAGTGCCCAGCTACAGTCATGTCTCTGTTCACTGACCGGACTAAGGCTATCATTTGGGGAATGCAGAATAGGGCTATACAGGTAATTATTTTTTTAAAGCATTATTTATATCACAATAAGACGAATGTTTCATTATCCTAATGTCATTGTATCTAAAATTGGATAATTTCTTTAATCAAAAGTAAATTATTTCGACTGTTCAATTCAATAAAATATTAACTTTCATTAATTGATTTTATGATCAATTTCATTTTAGTATTTTTCCAGCAAATTTTTAAGAAATAAGTATGTTGTTTGACGCTAAAAAAAAGGTGACGTCACAATACACAATCTCGTACAAAATTTATAGAAATTTATAATTTTTGACATTACGAAAAACGTATTGAATTTGTCTAGTTGGCAAGTACACAATTGATTGCCTCGTTGATCGAGTGGTCATAATTGACTATCGAAGTGACTTAAGTTCGACTCCCAGTTTGTAATCCTTACTATTTATATAATAAATTGGAAAGTGAGTTTGTTTGTTTGTTTGTTCCACTTTCACGCCGTAACTACTAAACCGATTGCTTTGAATTTTTGCAGACGGAAAGTTAGAAGTCCGGATTAAATAGTAGGTTACTTTTTAATGCGGAAAAATTTGATATTCCCGAGGGAAAACAAAAATATTGGTATAGATGGCGCTGTGTGTATATGGTACATGTCACATAAGCTACTTTTTATCCTTTTGTGACGCGAGCGAAGCCGCGGGGTAAAAGCTAGTATGATATAATTGGGGATTTTTTAGTGGCGTAACATTATGTCATGGAAATATCACCCATCATGGTTCTTAACTCGTCAAGTACCGGTTTTATAGACACAATTAAAGAACAATAGGTCGCGGTCACCGGTGACCGCTTGGTGTTTGACAGTTTAATCATAAGGTCTAAAATCATTTATCAACGTGTACAGGGAATGTTAGATTTCGACTACATCTGCCGTCGGTCGGAGCCGTCCGTGGTGGCCATCGTGTATCCATTCACTGCCGACCACAAACAGAAATACTACTTCGGGAACAAGGAGGTGTTCATACCTGGTGAGTCTCGTCACACTAATTTATTTATTTATTTATTTCAACTTCATACAACAAGTGTGTACAGGTGGACTTAATGCCTTGGGCATTGTCTCCCAGTCAACCTTTAAGCAGTGCAGAGATGAAAGTAGCAGGTGATTTAAACCTTTATAAATAGGCAATGTACCAGTGTAATAAATAACAAATCTCACAATCAGAATATTCAATAAACACTAATATCACTACATAGTATAAAACAAAGTCGCTATCCGCCGTCTGTCTGTCCCTATGTATGCTTAGATCTTTAAAACTATGCAACGGATTTTGATGCAGTTATTTTTAATAGATAGAGTGATTCTTAAGGAAGATTTATATGTACAATACGTGTATATTGCACCCGTGCGAAGCCGGGGCGGGTCGCTAGTAAAATATATTAATATTCATTTAATTTTGGGCTCGCCATGCTTCGGCAGGAATGGGTCGGTTCGAACAGACTGATACCACAATGTTTTTTTTTATAATATAGTCACTTTTACAGTGGCTTTAAGTGATGTCCTCTGCCTACCCCTTCGGGGATAAAAGGCGTGATGTTATGTTATTGTGACATTTTTTCTCATATTCCAGTATACTCCGACATGGACGTGTCTATGCGTAAGCACCAGGAGGCGACCGTGCTCGTCAATTTCGCATCATTGCGCTCTGCTTACGACAGTACTATGCAGGTAAACTATACATTATGTATTACCATTTAGGGGGACGTCCATAAATCACGTGAGATTTTAAGGGGGGAGGGGGTAGACTCAAATCTCATCTAATCTTACGTTGGAGAGGGGGGGGGGGGTCTCGGCAAATAAATAGGGTGCAGGGTTGCTGGTTGTGAAATTAAAGCCCCGGTGTTCTTGATGGTTATTTATTCACTGTTACATAAATTTGCTATAAACTAATCAAGATAATTGCAACCCTAAGTGGATGGATGTAAGGGACTGCGTGGCTATCGTCTTTCAGACCTCAACAACAAAAAAAAATATAGTATTTTATTCCATTTAATCCAGATTTTACATGCTTAATCTGTCAAACACCGCGAGGACACCGGTGACCGCAACCTATTGTTCTTTAATTGTGTCTTTAATGACGGTACTCAAAGAGTTAAGATTTAATTGTACATGCATTTGTTTTGTATTATACGTATAGTATTCTATTGTTACACTTATAACTCTCAGCAATATTGATTACTAGTCTTAACTAGTCGTAAATAAAAGAACGAAGCGAATTTTTTTCTTTTTACAATACTAATTCAACGCATTTACGTGAAAAACCAACATTTTGATAAATCTCACGTGAGATTGGGGGATGGGGGATGGTGTTGAATAAAATCTCACGAAATCTCACCAGGGGGGAGGGAGGGACAGAGATTTAAAAACAAACACCTCACGTAATCTATGGACGCCCCCTTACATAGGGTTTACCCTCATTGAATTTTACATTTGCCCTTCCCTGTACTTTCAACTATGTACTCCTAGTAGATATTTCTAATACATTTTTATTAACTTAACGAAATAATATTTCATACGTAATTTTAGTGGTTGGCACTGCCTCATTAGCCGAGTCGCAAGTGTGACTGCCAGCCAAGGGGCCTTGGGTTCGATTCCCAGATAGGACAAAATATAACTGGGTAAAAAAAATCTGAACCTGAAAATGTGCCCGGTATATGGCAATAGGCTCACCCCCTATTACATGGGACTCATAACATAAATAGTGAAAAGTGGGTGTTACATTGTAATGTGCCTATCCCTTTTGGGATAAACGGCGTGCTGTTATGATGTTATGGTAGCTAAAACCGCAACTTCGTGTGCGGTTTACTAAAATAATTAAGTAGCTTATGTTACTCCTTAGTAAAAGTCAAAATCGGTCCAGCCATTTCAGATATTAGCCAGTACAACAGACAGACAGACTAGAATTGATATTTTTTAGTATATGTATCGTATGTATATTCATATGCATGTAGTAAAAAGTGGTTATAACAATATTACAAACAGACGCTCCTATGTTATATCTCCATATAGATTACCTATAGGATCGAAAAATAATACTTGACTTCTAACTTATATAATTCGTTCCCCAGGCGATGCAGCACCCTCAGATCAACACAATAGTGATCATCGCGGAAGGTATCCCCGAGAACATGACCAGGAAGATCATCAAACTAGCTGACACTAGAGGGGTAAGTACAACTTGTTTATTTAGTGTCGATTTTTTAATCATCATATCATTTATTTTTTGTACGGGATGCGGTAACCAACGAGTAAACGGATCATCCGATGGTAAGCAGTTGGCGCGGGCTACACCCGCAACACTAGAGGCGTTACAAGTATGTTACCGGCCTTTTGGCCCCCCAAAAGGCCGGTAACATACTATAACATTACATACAAAAGGGATGAGAGACTTCAGGATTGAGAACTTTCCTTAGTCAAGAAAAATTGGTTGCCTGTAAAGTCGGTATACGGGCGAAAGTTTTACGTGACAACGACTTTGAGTGGTAAAATAATTTTAATGTGAATATTCATTCGTATAGTAGGAAGAAGGATGTATCTCTCTCACTCTCTCTCTCTCTCTCTCACTCTCGCTCTTAGGCGGGCTAACTGTGCTCGAGTGGAAGGGACGCGTGCCTTTCACTTTTTATATCTGTCTCTCTCGCTCTTAGGCGGGCTAACCATGCCCGAGTGGAAGGGACGCGTGCCTCTCACTCGCTCTCATTGTGAGCGCATAACGTGAGCGGAGCGTAACGCAGTTTCTTGAAGTGTCACCCGGCAAACCAATTTATAAGACGTTGTCACGTCAATAAATTATTTCGACTGTTCAATCCAATAAGTTACGGTAGGAATAAATAAGCAATCTTAGTTGAAAATCTGTAGAACGACGAATGGCATAGAACTATCGGAAAAATTACTGTTTACTACCAAAATTAATGAGTGACAAGGAGTGAGAAGAATTGGGTACGTGTTTGCTTTTATCAAAAATAAATTATTTCGACTGTTCAATGCAATAAAATATTTAAAAAAATAATCAAACTTTCATTAATTGATTTATGACCAATTTAATTTTAGTATTTTTCCAGCGAATTTTTAAGAAATAACTATGCTGTTTGACGCTAAAAAAATGTGACGTTCACAATCTCACGTACAAAATTCATATAAAACTGTCGTTTTTGACAGCTCGAAAAAAGTATTGAATTTGACTAATTGGCAAGTACCCGTTTATAATGATATTTATCTATTTTATCCTGTAGGTGAACGTAATCGGTCCGGCGACAGTGGGCGGTATCAAGCCGGGATGTTTCAAGATCGGTAACACGGCCGGTATGATCGACAACATCATCGACAGCAAACTCTACAGGCCGGGCAGGTATGTACACTATTTTTAAACTAATACTAGCTTCTCTGTTCTTTTTTTCAAAAAAATTCACATTAGTAGCACGGAGTCTGGAATTGAGCTTGGTATATGGCAATAGGCTCACCCCCTATTACATTGGACTCATAAAATATGATAATAGGATATGTAGAATAAAAATCCTATGTGTTATTATGACTGCCTCATTGGCCGCAAGTGCGACTGCCGGGCGAGGGGACTCGGGTTCGATTCCCGGGTCGGGCAAAGTATTACTGGGTTTTGTAAAAACTCTCAGTAGTAGCACGGAGTCTGGAATTGTGCCCGGTATATGGCAATAAGCTCACCCCTTATTACATGGGACTCATAACATTAATAATGAAAATTGGGTATGCTGTTGACGCTAAAAAATCGTGACGTCACAAAACACAATCTCGTACAAAATTCATAGAAAACTGTCGTTTTTGACAGTTCGAATAAAGTATTGAATTTGATTAGTTGGCAAGTACCCAATTAAAATTAGTATGTATTATTATTAATTTAAATTTTGTATCTCCGTAGCGTGGCGTACGTGTCCCGTTCAGGCGGTATGAGCAACGAACTGAACAACATCATCTCTAAGGACGCGGACGGAGTCTGCGAGGGGGTCGCCATTGGGGGGGACCGATACCCTGGGACCACCTTCATTGACCATCTCATGAGGTAAGGGGGTTTAAGACAGATAACTATCAGCTATCCGATATAAAAAATATCCTTAACCGTAACGTGTGACAACGTAACGCGTGGCAACCGGGTGCCGCGCAACTTATGGCGGGTTCGATTCCCGCACGGAGCAAATTTTTGTATGATTTACAAATTGTTGTTCCGGGTCTGGGTGTCATATGTATGTGAACTTGTATGTTTGTAAATGCACCCACGACACAGGAGAAAATCCTGGTGTGGGGTGACGTTAAAAAAAATCAAAAAATCCAAATGGGCCTCGAAAGATTGTGTGCCAACCCTAGCGTTGTCTAAGACGGCCCAGTGAATCAATCAAAAATACTCGCCTGATGTAAATTGTTCGAGAATAATCGACTGATTTTATAATAACTATCGTGAGACTTATAAATTAAGTAAAAACGCGGGTTACTCACGTGAATATACTGAGAAAAGCTCTACTAGTTTCGAACCACGGAGGGGTTCTTCCTCATGAGCAGCGTGCGTGGTTGACGCAATGGTTGAGAGACCATGTACTGCGTATAAAAAGCCACCAAGAAGGATCTTCCAAGACTTCTTATAAAAATTAACCTTTCGCACACTCAGATACGAAGCGGACCCCAACGTGAAGATGCTAGTCCTCCTGGGTGAGGTGGGAGGAGTGGAGGAGTACCACGTCTGTAGAGCAGTCAGGGACGGAAAGATCAAGAAACCTATAGTCGCATGGTGTATTGGAACTTGCTCCGGTGAGTACTAGCTTTATTATTGTACCACGTCTTTTTTATAAGCCGCAACCTCCCAAGCCCGCTGCAACTCCTGTCCACCAGGATCTACAGTACATACAACCATGTAAACACCGGAACACTGAAGTATAAGTGTGGGCTCGCCAAGCTTCGGTACTACTGTGTCTGCTCGACCGGAGTCATACCAACGAGCAGAAAACTATAGTGAAGCAACTACAGCGTTGTGTTTCGTCGTGTGAGTGAAATTACCGGAGGCCAAATACCCCCTCCCCCCACCCTCCCCTCCCCCCGAATCCCCCACATTCCTTTCAAAAAGGCCGGTAACGCATTTGTAACGCCTCTGGTGTTCCAGGTGTCCATAGGCGACGCCGATTGCTTTCCATCAGGTGATCCGTCAGCTCGTTTATCGGCTTATCTCATTAAAAATTAAGATTTCATTAAATTACAGGCGTTTAAAACCCCTTTTTTCTTCCACAGACATGTTCACATCGGAAGTACAGTTCGGGCACGCGGGTTCGCTCGCTGGGTCTGCGGTGGAGAAGGCGGTGGCGAAGAATGCTGCGCTCAGGGCGTACGGGGCCGAGGTGCCGGACTCATTCGATACACTCGGAGTCGCTGTTAACAAGGTACCTACGTTCAAATATTACGTAGGCCGCATCATCGCTTACCACCGGCCGAGATAATGGTCAAATATAAAAATAAAAATATATATATAATATATATTTTATTTTCAAATCTTTTTGACTGCCTCGTTGGCGGAGCGGTCGTAAGTGCGACTGCCGGGCAATGGGGCTCGGTTTCGATTCCCGGGTCGGGCAAAGATTTCTGGGTTTTTAAATATTCTCAGTAGTAGCACGGAGTCTGGAATTGTGCCCGGTATATGGCAATAGGCTCGCCCCCTATTACATGGGACTCATGACATAAATAGAGAAAAGTGGGTGTTACATTGTACAGTGGCATTAAGTGCCGTAATGTGCACCAGGGATGTTAGGGAGCTCCGTAACCGTAACCGAAACTATCGGATATCCGATATAAAAAAATATCCGTAACCGTAACCGAATCCGAAATAAAAGTTTCGGATACTATCGGATAGGGGCGTGACGTATAAATGATACCATTATATGAGATATTTGTATTTTACTTTTGAAATACCTTAAAATTATAATATCCGTAACCGTAATTATCCGACACTAACGGATAATCCGAAACAATTTCATATCCGTATCCGTAACCGTATCTAGTATAATAATCATTTCTATATCCGTATCCAATCCGTATCCGAGATTTCATATCCATAACATCCCTGATGTGCACCTCTGCCTACCCCTTCTGCTCAAGGCAGATGTTGCATGAATAACACAAAATGTGTAATGATAATTTGTTTTATCCGCAGGTGTACCAGAAACTAGTGAAAGAAGGCAAGATCATCGTGAAGGAGGAGGTGGAACCACCCAAAGTGCCCATGGATTATGACTGGGCGAGGGTGAGTAATCTGACATTGTTTATTTATTTATTTACTAGCTTTTGCCCGCGACTTCGTACGTGCAGTCCCGTTTTCTCCCATTCCCATAGGATTTTCAGGACTTTTTCTGTCGTAAGAACCTTCTCATGACAATAACAAACACAACAAAAAACAGATCAGCCAAATCGGTCCAGCCGTTCTCAAGTTATGGCGTGACAACGGGAAACGGGTTTGGTACTTGCCGTTGGTAAGTTTCGAACTCGCGCCCTCATGCATTAGAACCAGGGGCTGTAGCAAATGCCACTCAGCGCTTGTCTACATGTAGAGTAGAAAACTAAATTATAATGGGATTGACGTAAATTTTAACACTTGTCAGTGTCATCCCCATACATTTAGTTTTCTACTCTCTCTGTAGACAGGCGCTAAATTGGCGTTTGGATAAAGGCTTCATAAATATCCGGTCCACCACGAGATTAATGTTTATTTTATCACCCTACCTTTCAGAAACTGGGCATCATCAGAAAGCCAGCTGCGTTCATCAGCACGATATGTGACGAGCGAGGCAATGAGCTGTCGTACTGCGGGGTGCCCATCAGTCAGGTACTGGAGCGACAGATGGGCGTCGGGGGAACTATCAGTCTGCTGTGGTGAGTTAGGGGGCCGTTGATATAGGGGGGTAGGGTTTGTGTGATGTGAATGTTTTATTATAAACTCGCGACTTCGTCGTGGAATAGTGACTTTGGATAATTCGTCACAGCTACTTCACTATCCAGTCACAGAGGTCAAAAAAAAATTTTTTTTATGGCATAAGCCGATAAACGAGCAGACGGATCACCTGATGGTAAGCAAACGGCGTCACCCATGGACACCTGGAACACCAGAGGCATTACAAGTGCGTTACCGGCCTTTTGGGGATTAGGACTTTGAGGATCGTTGGGGATTCAGGAATTGGGGAGATTGGGGAAGGGGAGGGTAATTGGGCCTCCGGTAACCTCACTCACACGACGAAACACAACGCAAGCGTTGCTTTACGTCTGTTTTCTGCTCGGCCGTTGTATCACTCCGGTCGAGCCGACCCATTCGTGCCGAAGCATGGCTCTCCCACACTTAAATAAACTAAAGGACAATAAATAATATAGTCTCGTCCCTTAATTTGCGCAAAAAGATTAACTTTACCTTATCCCTCTCCAGGTTCCAACGCGAACTTCCAGAATGGGCGACGAAATTCTTCGAGCTGGTACTAATAGTGACGGCGGACCACGGCCCCGCCGTGTCCGGGGCACATAACACTATGGTCACCGCCAGAGCCGGGAAGGATCTCATCTCCTCCGTCGTCAGCGGGCTGTTGACTATTGTGAGTATATTAAAAAAGAAATAATCCTCTAGACATCGCCTTTCCTCATTATGCATCTCCTCTTCTCCACACCCATTTTTCCAACACCAGTTAAAACTGAGGAATAATTTTATTCGACAATTCTTCCATACTAAAAACTGTCAAATGTCAATTTTATTTTACAGTTAAGAATAAAGTAGTTTCCTAAATTTTATTTAACTGTCCGTCTGGTACATTATTTAAAACTTAAATTTAAAAAAAGACACGTATTTTTTCTTTTCTTTCAAAATTAAATACTTTAGACGATATATTAATTTGAAATATCGTGTGACGAAATATGACGTAACGACCTCCCACTCCTAAACTTAGCGCCATTTTATCTAAGTATTGCAACTTAATACGAGAAAATAAAAAATACGTGTCTAATATTTTTTCATTGTCTAACTAACGGACTAATTAGATTTTTAATTTCGATACCTTGGAAACTACACAATTATAATGCCAGTAAGACAACTTATAATTATATTTAAATAATACTAACTTTTACCCGCGGCTTCGCTCGCGTCACAAGAGCATAAAAAGTCACCTATGTGACATATATCAATACACACAGCGCCATCTATACCAATACTTTTGTTTTCCCTCGGGAATATCAATTTTTTTCGGGATAAAAAGTACCCTATTATTTATTCCGGACTTCTAACTTTACGTCTGCAAAAATTCAAAGCAATCGGTTTAGTAGTTATAGCGTGAAAGCGGAACAAACAAACAAACAAACTCACTTTCAGATTTATAATATTATTAGTATAGTATATATTAGTATTAGTATTAGTATATTAGTATTAGTATCTTAGTATTAGTATATTAGTATTATTAGTAAGGATATTTCTTTGTATGTACAGGGCGATCGTTTCGGCGGAGCTCTGGACCGCGCGGCGTTAGATTTCTGCGCCGCGTACGACCGCGGACAACATCCGCAGGAGTTCGTCAACGAGAAGCGAGCTAAAGGGGAACTCATCATGGGAATTGGACACAGGTATGTTACTACACTAAGACAAGATATCACCGCTGACGGCTGCCGCGCAATGTGTCGCGGGTTCGATTCCCACACGGAACAACTCTTTGTGTGATCCGCAGATTGTTGTTCCGGGTCTGGGTGTCATGTGTATGTGAACTTGTATGTTTGTAAACGGACTCACAACACAGGAGAAAAACTTAGCGAAGAGGATACGCTTTAAAAAAAAAAAGATTTTGAAAATCGGCGGACATAGTCTCTTGAAACAACGACTGTGGCACCACGCTACTATAGACTTACACGCAGAACACACACACATTGACACGAAGGACATCTGTCGCGTGACATGGCGCGTCGTTACACTTCATACATTACGGTGTTGGGAGTACACGCACACATAAATACACCACTGACATTTCAGAGCTTAGTAAATTATTTAAATCGATTCTGAGTTTTAGCTCCATACGTATTTGGACATTGTCCTGTTATAATTAACTAAAAGCATAATAATAGTACTCTCTGGGAAACAAACGCAGGGCGCCTCGTTTGCCGCGGTGACTCATACGGCTAACACCTGTGTAGATGTAGGTACGCCGAACAATCAGCTGATTCGAACGCCCCAGCCGCATACCGCTATGCTTTCGCAGCAAGCAGATGAAGTTTGGCAGGTTGTGCAAAGAAAAAGGTATAGAAATCGATTTATGAGTAAAAAAGGAACGTGCACGGAAATAGTAGATAGTTTTAGGGCTGCAAATATCAGAGTCCCTCTATTTATAAATAATGTTCATAAGGAAACCTGTGAGAATCATATAGTCAATTACATAAAGAGCAAAACAAACGTTGAAGTCACATTACAAAGAATCGAATCTAAGAAACAAAAACATTACAACTCGTATAAAATATATGTTCCCAAGGAGAAGCTTAGTTTGTTTTTGGACTGCAGTTTATGGCCTGATGGAATAGCTTTCCGTCGGTTCGTGGATTTTAACAGACGAGATTTAGACAGACATAGGAAATCTGATACTAGTGCAGTAATAAATATAAATGGATAGCACAACAAACAATGACACATTAAAATTCATCAGTTTTAATTGTAAGTCTTTTAAAAGATCCTCGGAGTGTGTAAGACGTCTTTGCCTAACGGCCGATATTATTGCACTGCAAGAAACGTGGCTCCTGCCACATGAGATTCCTGAACTCGGTAAAGTGAACAGTGATTTCGGATACTGCGGTAAATCTGCGGTAGACCTAACAGGTGGTGTGCTACGGGGGCGTCCGTATGGCGGTGTGGCACTTTTATGGAGAAACAGTAAGTGTCGTTGTGTGTCTGTGATTCCGTGTAAAAGTAAACGAATAAGTGCAATTAAGGTGTGTACTTTGGATCGATTTATACTAATATTTTCTATTTATATGCCTACCGACTCTTCTGATAATCTCTTAGAATTTGTTCAATGTTTAAGCGAAATTATGTCAATAGTTGAGGGTAATAATATTGAAAGTGTTTTTATCATGGGGGATTTTAACGCTCATCCTGGTGAATTGTTTGGAAATGAGCTTCGAAATTTTTGTAATGAGCAAAACTGGACATGTGTCGACCTAGAGATGTTGGGCTTAAGTTCAAATACTTATACTTTTGTGAGTGACGCGCACGGTTGCCGTAGGTGGTTGGATCACTGTGTGGTAACTGATGCGGCACTAAAAACGGTTACTTCAGTAAGGGTGTGCTATGACATTTTCTGGTCTGATCACTGTCCAGTAGAGATCCAGTGTAACTTAAAAACAGTCTGTAGAAATATTAGGCCACCGCTCAGGAAAACCAATAAAGTTCTATGGGGGGATAGGGATATAAACCAAATAGAAAAATATACAAAATATTGTAATAATAAACTGAGGGAAATTGGTTTCCCTCATGAATTCCAACAGTGTTGTGATCGTATGTGTAGTGATAGTAGCAAGGATCACGTGGCAGCGATAGACGCGCTTTATTGTGACATCGTGACAACCTTACAGGAGGCTGCTATTGATAGCTACGTCGGCCGAGGTAGTGGCGGACGTCACCGCGGTCGTCATGTTGTCGGATGGAACAAGTATGTTCGTGATGCTCATAGGGAGGCTAGGCAGAAATTTTTGACCTGGGTGTCTTGTGGTCGACCGAGCAGTGGCAAGGTTTATAATGAAATGTATGAATCTAGAAAACAGTTCAAAAGCAAACTACGCTATTGTCAGAATAATCAAGAATTAATAAAGATGAATATTTTAGCTACTCAACATAAAAACAAAGATTTTAAAGGTTTTTGGCAAGAAACAAAAAAGCTAAACCCAAAGCCTGGCGTCCCTGTGAGTATCAACGGCATCTGTGAACCAAAAGACATTGCTGGCATGTTTAGGTGTCACTTTAGAGTGGAGTCACCGCTAAAGGGTGAGCGGACTAAAGACGCGGAGGTCGTCGTGACAGGGGTACCTGAGCGTGTCACAGCAAAACAAGTTACTCTAATAATAAAGGGCATGACTCGAGGGAAATCACCCGGTCACGACGGTATCAGCATCGAACATTTTCAGCATGCGGGGTCACACCTCCCGAGGCTCCTGGGTCTGTTATTCACGCTCTGTATTAGGCATTCCTATCTGCCAAATGAGCTGATGAAGACGGTGGTAGTGCCTATAAGTAAAAACAAGACTGGAGATAATAATTCTGACAAGAGCAACTACCGCCCAATCTCATTAGCTACAACCACAGCTAAAGTGCTTGATGGCTTGCTTGAGAGACAGCTTAAGAAACATCTAAAATTAAACGACGCACAGTTCGGTTTTAGACCAGGACTTTCGACAGAATGCGCAGTTATGTCTCTCAAGCAGACTGTCAGGTATTACACAGATAGGAGCACGCCTGTTTATGCAGCCTTTCTTGATCTCTCCAGGGCTTTTGATCTGGTTGGGTATGATATACTCTGGCATAAATTGAAGAATTCAGGTGTGCCAGGCGAGATAATTAATATGTTTAAATATTGGTATGATCACCAGACTAACCAGGTCAAATGGCGTGATGAGCTTTCTGATGAGTACAGGTTGGAGTGTGGAGTGAGACAGGGGGGGTTGACGTCTCCTACACTCTTCAACTTGTACGTAAACGGGCTGATTGTTGAGCTGAGCAACATCGGAGTGGGATGCTCGATTGATGGTCGCTGTATCAATAGTATAAGCTACGCAGACGATATGGTGTTGCTCAGCCCATCAGTAGCCGCGCTCAGAAAGCTGATAGGTGTGTGTGAGAAGTATGCGAGAGTGCACGGTCTCCTATACAATGAGCAGAAAAGTGAGTTCATGGTATTTCAGGCCAGGGGTCGTAAACTGGGGGGTGTGGCACCTGTACTGCTTAACACTGTCGCTCTTCAAAGAGTGAAGGAATTTAAATACCTCGGCCATGTGGTTACCGAGGATTTAAAAGACGACAGGGACATAGAAAGGGAGAGGAGGGCGATGGCGGTCCGCTGTAATATGTTGGCACGCAGATTTGCGGGGTGTAGTCTTGGGGTAAAGATCACATTGTTTAAAGCATTCTGCCAAACTCTCTACACCTGCAATCTGTGGGTCAGCTACACGCAGCGGGCCATCAACGCTCTCCGTGTACAATATTAACGCGTTCAGGGTGCTGGTGGGGCTCCCGCGCTGCTGTAGTGCGTCTGCGATGTTTGCGCACGCGCACACTGACGGCTTTCACGCGGTGCTACGGCGCCGCATCGCCTCGCTGATGTTCCGTACGCGTGGGAGCGCCAACACCATCTTGAGCGAGCTCAGCCAAAAACTGGATAGCCCCCTTATGAGGCACTGGGTTCAAACTCAAGTGTGCGTGACCGGTGCCTCAAACGGAGGCAAATACTTAAGTTAATTCTATTGTTAAAAAAATTAAATAATTTGGCCTTTTTTCATTTCTTCTTTATATTTGTTGATGTAATGATATTTTTTACCTAAATTGACATTAATTAAATTGACAATATACTAATTTGAATGATTGATAATGCGGTGTTATAATGTAATAAATTAAATTAATTAAGAATATATATATTGAATAATAATAATCTAATCGTAAATGTATGGACCCAATATGTCTGAAATAAATTTATTTTATTTTTATATTTTTTATTTATTTATAAATTTAAATATGTGAATTAGTTTCTGAACGAGCAGGCGGATCACCTGATGGTAAGCAATCGGCGTCGCCCATAGACACCCGAAACATGTTACCGGCCTTTTGGGGATTAACAATTTGAGGATTGTAGGGGATTCAGGGTTCGAGGAGGAGGGGGGGGGGGTAATTGGGCCTCCGGTAACCTCACTCACACTGCAAAACACAACGCTGTGAGACTTAAGACTTGATTTAATTTGATAGCAAGAGTACCCCAAACATGTATTAATCTATTTTTCTATTACAGGGTAAAATCAATAAACAATCCCGATTCAAGAGTGCGCGAGCTGAAGGCGTACGTGACGTCTCGTTGGCCGGCGTGGCCGGTGACCCGCTACGCTCTGGACGTGGAAGCCATTACTACCAGGAAGAAGCCCAACTTGATCCTCAACGTTGATGGCATAGTCGCAGCCGCCATGGTCGACATGTTCAGACATTGCCAGCTGTTTACGCAGTTAGTATATATTTTTATTGTTATAATTTTTTTTTAAGGCGGTAAAATCATCGAATGACTGCTCCCGCCTGGGTGAGGCGGGAGAGTCGTCGTACGCGCAATCCCGTTTTTCCCGTTCCCGTAGGATTTTCAGGATTTTTTCTGTCATAAGAACCTTCTCCTGATAATAAGAAACACAACAAAAAAAAAAATCAGCCAAATCGGTCTAGCCGTTCTCAAGTTATGGTGTGACAACGGGAAACGGGTTTCATTTTTATATTATATAGATTATTATTTATGGACTGCCTCGTTGGCCGAGTGGTCACAAGTGTGACTGCCAGGCAAGGGGGTTCAATTCCCGGGTCAGGCAAAACATTACTGGGTTTTTTAAATAAAATCTCAGTGAAACCACGGAGTCGGGAATTGTGCCCGGTATATGGCAATATTACATGGGACTCATAACATAAATAGTGAAAAGTGGGTGTTTTATTGTACATTGGCATTAGGTACCGTAATGTGTACCTCTGCATTCCCCTTCGGGTATAAAAGGCGTGATGTTATGTTCTTAAACTAAAATAAAATGTCTAATTTCACAGAGAGGAAGGCAACAACTACATAGCAATGGGCTCTATCAACGCCCTGTTCGTGCTGGGCCGTACCATCGGTCTAGTAGGCCACTACCTCGACCAGAAGCGCATGAAGCAACCCCTCTACCGCCACCCATGGGACGACATCACATACATGTCGCCCTTAAACTAAAATTCCCATAAAAAAACCCATGGATTGGACGGATTTTAGCTAAAAATGACCCCTAGGAACAAATTTATGTGATTGTCAAAAATTATAATTTTAATAAAATTTTGATTCCAAAGTCGTGCTTATCGGGTTTCGAAAATCTCTGTAATGTAAGTTTGGGAATGTAATTCTAATTGACGCTTGCAATATTGCCGTGTAGAAGTGTTGGCGTTCGATTCCCGATTGGCATTTTCGGTTTTTGAAATTCTCCTGTAACTTTGTGTATATTAACATAGGTACTGGTTAAATCTCGCAGTTTGGTATTTTGTTTTTTTTTTATTTTTGACTGTCAAATAAGTTTGTTTTAAAATTAAATTATTGTATGCTGTACCATTGCAACGACATTAAGCCTTAATTTATTATCTATATATATGTAAAAATGACATTAATTGTGTTTTTATACAATGATCTTATAATAAATTCATTTTGAATAAAATTCAATGTAATTCTATCTGAACTGTATTCGAGATGACTTGAATAGTTTCAACTTGACTTGAAATCAGTGAAGTTATAATATTATCGTCAAATAGTTAAATAAAAATAAACAACAATTATTTTCTTATTCTAATCTATATCCTTTTTTTACTTTAAAATGTCCAAAAAGTGATATAACACACATTTTCACCAACACTTCTGCTTATCCTACTTTTCAAGCCGTTATAAGACCATTGTATAAAGAAAACCTAACGAATAATATATTTTATTATGAATTAAAGTAATTTTTGTTATTATTATGTTTTCGGCTTACGCACGTAAGTGTTTGACGAGAAACTCGACTAGTATTAAGCCATGCTAGAAATATTCTAGGCTACTGACAGTCGCCGCATCGTGTCGCGGAATGCTGCTCATGAATACGAGCCTCTAGTACGACTTGAAACTAGTCGAGTTCCTCATCAAATAATTACGTGAGTAAGCCGAAAACATAATAATTAATTTTCTATGTCTCACGAATTTAAACATAATTTTTTTACTTCGAGAAGTACGTACAGTCAAAGGTCAAAAGTCCACTGGCACCGTGAGTGATGTTCACACGGCAATGCGTAAGTAATTTCATATTAATGTGCATAAAACCGCGTGCGTACGCATAAACACGCACGCGAACGCACACGAATAGAAATGTGCGCGTGCGTGTGTGTGTGTATAACAACCGATAGTAGTCGTGACAGTGGACTTTTGACCTTTGACCGTAAATACGTAAAATAAAATAGCGAAATTGATTAATTTGACAAATATTTTTGTCCTTTGACCATGTCCAATCCAGGGTAGATTTTTTCGAAAAATAAACGTTATAAATAATATAAATAAAATTGAAATATTTTAGGGGGATCTTTAAGCAAAAATGTTGTTACTGAAAAACCGATGTCTTCATTCCATTTCAGGATTTCACTGAAATATCATTTTTGTACGTCGAGAGTTAAAAAAATTATATCAAAATAGTCCGTCAATGAAAACTATGGTGCTCAAATTGAAAATCTTAATAAATAAATACGGCTTTGTCGACTTTCGTTTCGATTCCCAGGTCAGACAAAGTATTATTGAGTATATTTCAGTTTTAAGATTTCTTTATAAACAGTCTAGCATTGTGCCCGGTATATGGCAATAGGCTCACTCCCTATTACATGGGACTCATAACATAAACAGTGAATAGTGGGGGTTACATTGTATATGAGCACCTCTGTCTACATCGGGTATAATAGAAGGGGCGCTGAAATATATACTACTCTTATCTTTAAAATATTTATGATATATGACGAGAAAAAAATGATATTTCAATGAAATCTAAAAACATTCATTTATTTATTTTATGACCAGGGTTCAGAAGAGTACTTGAGGACACAAAACGGTTCTAATGTGTTTTTGAGATACAATCGAAGTACACGTTAAAGTGGGTAGGTAGTGAACGACGGATTTTAATACGTAGATACATTTTTTTTAATTTTTCTATTCAACTCAAGTGCTCTATTTAATTAAGTAACTCTTAGATCTGTTGTTAAGCTGATAATATAAATATTTTACTGATTTTTTGTTCTTTTTATTTTTTTGTACTTTTTTTTTTGAAGCTTCAAAGGGGCCGTTCAAGTATTACGTAAGCAGATTTTTGATAATTATTTACCCCCCCACCCCCCTTGTCAGCAAAAGTAAGCATACATCTTACCCCCTCCCCCTTTGCTTACGTAAACATTTTGAATTATATCTTTTTTATATTGTAACTAGCTTTTACCCACGGCTTCGCTCGCGTCACAAAAGGATAAAAAGCCAATGTGACATATATCAATACACACAGCGCCATCTATACCAATTCTTTTGTTTTCCCTCGGGAATATCAAATTTTTCCGGGATAAAAAGTACCCTATTATTTAATCCGGACTTCTAACTATACATCTGCAAAAATTCAAAGCAATCGGTTTAGTAATTACGGCGTTAAAGTGGAACAAACAAACAAACAAACTCTCTTTCCGATTTATGATATAAGTAAGGATTTTAATATTCTCCAAGATACCATAATGTCTAGTTCTTTGTCGGTCTTTGCTTGTAATTTATAATTTCATTATGAGGGTTGTCATTCGTGTAAAAAGTAAATAACTATATAATCATCATCTAGACTCCCTGCCCCCCCATATCATCAAAACAAGCAAAACAGAGACCCCCCTACACCCCCATGGTGCTTACGTAATACTTGAACGGCCCCAAAGTTTGTGTGGTGGTAGGCTTTTGTAGCCTAAGTAAGCAGGAGGTGCCACGAGGCGTGGAGAGTGAAGCAAGGTTTTTTGAAGGGAAAAATAGTTTAATGAATTCTCCCACCCGGGTGAGTCGGGAAGGATTGTCAGACTCTTACTGACTAAAAACTACCCCGTTACCACCCCTTTTCTAGGGAGAAATGATCCAATGACTTCTCCCGCCTTAGTGAGGCGGGTGTCGAACTCTTACTGACTAAAAACCACCCCGTTCCTACTCCTGCTCCTCGAGCCGGAGCCCTGGCAAACCCGTTAAGTCTTCCGCGGCTCCGTATCAGAACCAGCCCTTCCACCAGCCATTGGGTCCCATCGGTGGTGGTCTTTGAGGCGTGCGCGGAACTCGACGCGCCGTACGCTCGGGTCTGGTTCTGATCGGCGAGTACCCTTGATCGCCGTCCGCAGACCCGCACCTACGGAGTCTTGCAGTTGGAACTTTAAAAGGAGCGTGGAGCAAGAGCCCCTCTCAGGATACTCTTTGGTTCTGGTGACGGCAAGTTACCCGTGCTCGCCGTCCGCAGGCCCGTGAGCGTGCCGTGAAAGTTGAAAAACAATTGGGTTGTGTCCAGGGTATCAAAAAAAATCTAATTAGTCCGTCAGTTAGATAATGAAAAAACATTAGACACGTATTTTTTTATTTTCTCGTATTAAGTTGCTATACTTAGATAAAATGGCGCTAAGTTTAGGAGTGGGATGTCGTTACGTCATAACGTGCTACAAAATTTGGCACGCTGTGACGTCACACGATATTTCAAATTAATATATCGTCGAAAGTATTTAATTTTGTGAGAAAAGAAAAAAAACCTGTCTAACCTCTGGTACATCAATTTAATGTACCAGACGGACATTAAAATAAAATGTAGGAAACTACCCTATTTTACTGAAAGAAGATACCATTTTATTTACAAAAGATTTAATTTTATTTATAGTTCGAACTGCATTCATACATTTTTATCCTGAGAATCAAAAACAATCTCGCAATACAAGAAAAACAGTAATCACTTCATTTGGCTACCCTGCATGCTGATTGAATCCTAATTGTAACTTGAAACGCGTCGAGTACTCTCGATCAGTTACGAGTACAAGCAAATTATCTAATCATCTCTATGTTGATTAGTGTTGCCCAAATTCAGTCTTGGTCTTGTTCTTGCGTTTTTGCAAGACCAAGACCAAGAACAAGACCGCGTATTTTTAGCAAGACCAAGACCAAGACTGACCGTGCAAGACTTGAGCAAGAACAAGACATAGCCTGCAAGACTCTTGCGTCTTGCAGCTAGGACTTAGCGCTATTTCACTGAGTAGTTAGGTGTAACAGTTCGGTGTATAGGTAGGTACGCTTAGGAATTCTATGAGACGCAAAAAACTGTATCAAAGAATATGAAAAACTGGATGTGCATTACGACTAATACCATAAACATAGCGAATAAAAAATATTTCTATTAAAATCAAACTAAGTGCATGCATAGTTATGTTTTAACCATCGGCACTTTGATAATGCGGCATCAAAGGTTTTGTACTTACTTCTCAAAGAAATTTGCCGCTTTTCGGAAGTACATGGTTATGATACATGCGCCGGCGGCTTCTTTTGAAATCTAAAACAATCGTTGCCGCCACGCCGAAATCATAACATTTGACACTATTTGATTGCCGCCATAGGGCGTAGGTATACTCATGCAAAATAATTTACAATTTTAAGAGAACCTACAGTTGTTTCAAAGAATAAATAAGTTTCAGAGTGCTTAGAATGATAAAATAAAAACTGCGTTTAAAAAACCGACTTCAAAAATCAAAAACTAATAACAAACAAAAAGTCAATACTAAAAAGCAAAAAATAACTATTATTAGTACTGATAGGTTACCCACCCACTGATAGGTAAGAAGTCGGTGCCATAAGTTCTATACAAAATTATTTATTAAAACCTTAATAGGTATCTAATTCACAATTTTGTGGACATTAAGTTATATCATTATGATATGAGCTAATGGCACCGACTTCTAACCTATCAGTGGGTGGGTAACCTATCAGTACTAATAATAGTTATTTTTTGCTTTTTAGTATTGACTTTTTGTTTGTTATTAGTTTTTGGTTTTTGAAGTCGGTTTTTTAAACGCAGTTTTTATTTTATTATTTTACCATTTTCAGTGTAAAGCTACATATACCCGTTTTGTTACTTATAATATGCATAGGTGCAAAGTCCTCATCAATACAAATTAATCAAGCCCAAACTCAAG